CCCTAGAATCGACGGGTGAGTAAATGCAGTTCCACACTTAGGTAACTCGCGGCCCGGTCATGGGTGTCGAAAACTTTAGAGGGTTCTATCTCGAGAACGGTAAAGATTCCCGCCCTAGAGACCATGATTTTCGGAATCAGCGTGATGAGAAGGCTCTGTGAGCAAATTTTCAGCTAAATCGGGATGGCCCGTTTCTCGCTGCTGGACTCGCTGCTAGTTTGACAGACGTCCTGCCCCGCGAGAATTTCTCTAGTTTCTGAAGAATTTTTTTTCGGGACCCATGCTCTACTCATACTGGATTCGAATATACGCCCGCCGAACACTTAAACGGATCAGCTACTGCTGTCAAACTCGCAATTGATGCGAGTGCATCTCGGTTGCCTACGTTGCAATAACGTAGCATCTCGATATTGGGTGTCACTTGTTAGGTCATTTGCTTTGTCAAACATCTATCTCGTGGATAAATCTAATAAGAGCATCAGTGCAGCGGACTTCGAGCCCTCCCATGGGCTGGGCCGTGCACATCTCGCCCCCCCCCCCCATCGGCCGTGCAGATCTCTCTGAGCCGCCTACTTTTTTTTTGCTCCGCCAGCCTAAAGCCAGTCTGGAGCCGGGGGTCATTACATCTGGCAATTTTGGCCAGGAACAAAGTTTTACGCTAAGCCGGTTTATGTGAACCCGGAAGCAATAGCAACGTGGGAGCCTATCCTTAGCGTGTGTGAGCAAATCTAATGGGGAAACTTACTTTTGCCGAAGTGCCGAAAAAGCCGGAATAAAAAACACAGATGAAGAAACGGTAACATTTATTCACATCACATATTCATACACCTGTGCAAGGTGTCAGTGTACTGGTGTGGGGTGTATTGGTCAGGGAAAAAGTCCTAAATAACAAAAAACCTGACGCCTATTGCAAAGGGGAAAACCCCGCGCTGAAGCCAAAGAGCGCGGGGAAAAACCCCTACAGTTGTTTAATCTAATGTGTAGGAGGGAAAAGGGAAGGGATAATGACGGCCCCGTGCTGGGGAGGGGCGCCCGGCGACCACAGGCGTACTAACACCTTGGCCGCCAGTCGGCGTTGGCTCTCAACGACTCCGCCTTAGCGGGTCGGAGAGCGCAATAGGGGGCCGCCAGTTACACATGCCAGTTACACAATGCAAGAAACATCAATGGCTAGAGCGCGAGCACACGATGCAATCAAAAGGAAAATGTAAATAAACGACCGGGATTTAGATTGCACAAGGAACTGGGCGCCGCGTTACTATCGCCCCCACGGCGCCCACTCATGCCCATGTTCGGGGTTCCTTTTGTCTCAGTGAGGTGGTTTTTATATGCTGTTAATAAGACGTGCCTCCTGAAGAAAGATAAAAAGCAAATCATGAAGCTCTGGATGATCGTCGCCAAGAATAGTTGACAAAGCCAGACTGAGGCCATGTGTGGTAATGTGTCTTATAATGTGTCTTCTGTGGTGCTGTAGGCGTGGGCAGTGGAGTATGAAGTGTTGTATTGTGTATCTTGGATGTGTAGGGCAATAGTGACATATTGGAGGTGGTACATGGTCGTATATGTGCGAGTGTGTAAGATACGTGCGTCCTATAGCCTCAGTCTGGCCAGCACGGTTTCTTGTTGTCTTGTAGGTTGATTTGAAGAAGAGAAATGGGAAATTGATGGTTTAATCGGATAGAGATGTGGATGTTTGATTGTGTCCCAGTCTCTTTGTCGAAGTTGCATAAAGGAGACGTAAATATGGTTGATGAAATCAATAACTGGAAGAGAAAGATGATTTCGAGACGAGAAGAGAAGTCCAGTTTTGGCAAGGTTATCTGCCCGTTCGTTACCTTAGAACCCCATATGTGCAGGGATCCAGAGGATTCTTACTTCTTTATTTTCTTTCTGTAGAGCAATCAGCTGCTTTTTTATTTTGTATACCAAAGGATGTGTTTCCGTTTTTCTTGTTGTCAAAGTCCTAACAGAGGAAGCCGAGTCTGTGCATATCACTGCTTTCTAAAAATGTTTGCTTGCAATATATTTAAGAGCTGAACTAATCGCTATCAATTCAGCGCTGAATATGCTGTGCTTTCACTCAATCAACCGCGAACTGGCACACCATTTACGAACCACGAACTTACACATGCCATCTCGCGGTGTGGCAACACATCAGTAGGACCGGATCAGATTTATTACTCCTTTTTCAAAAATCTGACTGAATCCGGTCTCAGGCCTCCAGAGCCGAGCGGGCGCCCATGCGCAATGCGCATGCCCCGGACGCGAGTGACGACACCGTGACGTCACCCGCCTGGGCTGTGCGTAGCATGTAGCACTATTGGGAATTTGCGACCGGTCAAAGGTTACCCTGCCCCACCGGGCGCTACCCCCACTCCAGGCCAGCTGAGGCCGGTACAACCTATGACAGCTTAGCGTGGTCAGCTTTCCTGATGCCTAGCTGAGTTGAGCAAATTAGACATAAACAAATGCAAATTCATACATGATGTGAAAGTGACAGAGCAATGAATCTTCCTCTCAGGTATCCTGAACAACTGAAGTACCGACTTGAATCGTTAAACTAACAAATATGGCGTCCGTTTCGCAAGGCGACAGCCGAACGTCTCTTCCGTGGCCGGTCAGACGGGCATAGCGCCGGGTCTGCGCGTCGATAAGGGTCATTTCACGCTTTTGTGTGGCTTACTTTGATCCATTATGACACTGAATTGTGTAATTGCGCCTTGTTGCCGGCTGTGAGAGACGCATATTAATATTTGAGAATATTTTTTCGCGACATATTGTTCTTTTGGCATTCAGCTTTCAATGGAAAGCGAAAAAACATGCCTATGATTTCAAGAATGTCCGAGACAGCTCGTTAACCCGCGCCCGGCTGGGGGTCCTGGATTTCCACGCCCTGCTGGGGGGGGGGGGTGTTTGAACACCCCCCCTTGTAACTCGGCTCCTGGGCCACGTAGCGATACGCGGAAGGCGGCGTTCGAAAGAGCGTAAAAAATAATGACGAAATCACTTCGGTCAATTTTTTGGTCAGGTCAAAGGTCAGGTCACCAGAGGTCATTGAAGGCAAAATTTCGCCGATTTCCAGGTCGAATGTCGAAAATTTCCAAGAACCCAACGCATAACTCGGGAACCAATAGAGCTACAGCGCCGCAGAAAAGCGCATTCGATAGCCCTATTAACGCCCTTTCTGAGTAATTCTCTCAGATTTGACCTAACGTCAACGGTTTTGCCTGCAGGGGGCAAAAACTGCAAAAATAGCCGATTTTTTCGGAAACAGTTTTTCTGCAATAACTTTTGACCCAAGCCTTGTACGAGCTTACTTTTACCGGCATCGTGTTCCTCTCGTCAATACGCATCGAATGAACTATAACTTGACCTTGAAAGGTCAACTTGAAAATTTGACCTCAGGTCAAGGTCATGACCTGACCGGAAAGGGTCATGTTGCATATCAGTCGATCCGTATCGTCGAGCTGAACACATCTAAGGCGTTTTCATCGCTCTAGCATGCCTCTATCAAAAGTTATTTGCGAAAAACTGTTAGATACCATTCGTGACCTAAGATGACCTCAGGGCATAAACAAGGGTCACGGACACCATTTTCATGTTCTGTGTGTCTAAACCACTTGTAATTCGGTGTTTGGGAGTGTTTATAATGTCTTTCCTCCAAAAGAGGCGCATTTCAATTTTCTCCCATTGACTTATAATGGGGAGGTCGCAAAATTGACCTGACCTTAGGTCACCGATATCAAAATTCTGAGATATACATTTTGTACATGCTATTGCTCTTAGCAATCGCTGAAAGTTTCAAAGCGATCGGTCACTCGGTGTAGCTATGACAGACATTGAAACTTTTTATGAGGTGAGGTCACTTCAAGTGACCTGGTGACCTGACCTTGAATGACCTTGGTCTGAAATTTTCACAACATGTGTAGAATTGATGTATGATAAGGTGTACCAAAAACGGCGGCGCTCCGCGCCGCCGTTTTTGAGATATTCGCGAAAAACCACAAGGGGGGGTGTTCAAACACCCCCCCCCCAGCAGGGCGCGGGTTAAATAAAAAACTAGCACGCTTTAACAAAAACGCAATTTTTGAAAAAGGCCATCGAACGATTTCGGTAAAAAACACATTTTTGGAATCAGCTCACCGTCAGCTTTCGAATGGTACATTTCGTTTTTTTTTGTGGATGAAATGACTTTCCGACGAACCGTGGTCTGGAAACGCACGAACAATGTGCGCCGACATACGCCGAATCACGATTCCGGCCTGGCATGGTCTTAGGAAACAGGCTACAGGTCAAAGGGTATTTGGTTGAAGATCATGCCATTTTCAGGGTAGGTATGTGTTGAAGTAATAAAATCAAGGTTACTGAAAATTTTGTTACAATCGGCCGCTTATTTCGCGAGTTATTGACAAAAACAAACTAGGGATCCATCTGCTCCCCTCCCTTATGTGCGAAGTTAATTTCACAGGTACTGCGGCACTTACTCGATAGGCGTTATCACAAGTGTATTCGCGGCCATTGGGGCGACGTAAGAAAAGAATAAAACAACTGGCCCCAAGAACTTTAAATTATCAGTTAGCATGCACCTTTTCCTTGATATGTAGAGAATTTACCATTAGTTGTTAGAGAAAATTGCATTTAAAATCTTCCATTTATGCTTTTTTTCATCGTTTGCACAGTATGTTCTTTTACTAAGCTAGAAACACTAATAAGAAATAGTTCCCGCATCATCAAGAACAATAGGGAAGGCTTGAAGTGAATACAATAATCTAAACGGTTTTGTAATCCATGTGAAGACACTTCTAAAATTGCCTGTAGAAATATTAAAGGCAAAAGTTCAACTTTTTCACAAGACGGATGGCTATAAACCTATTCAACGTGTGACAACTCAGCCGGTATTTCGTCGCCTACAGCCCAGCTTTCCCTAGTGACCGATAGAGGCGCTGCTATCGATGTCCGCCCGTGCCGCCTAACGTGACACATCTGAATGTTTATTCAAGGTTTCTGCATTCTGCGCTGACGTAAGAAGGGAAGGTTCTCCGTCGTCTGTGATTGGAAGAACACAAGAAGGAAGTGAAAGAGACACGTTCCTGTGCCACATTTCCCATCACATAACAGCTCCCAAGTCTCGTTTGAGCATCGGTATGTATATCCAATATCCATGGCATTTGTGACGATACAGGGTGGATTCAAAAGCTTTGTTGAAAAAATGGCATAATATATTTATCAAAATGCGTTATCTCTTCCATGTCACTAAAGTTCGTTTTTTCTAAGTTCGACCCTCACTGTAAACGTCTCTTTGAACACAGCACGAGAATTGCTAGCTGAATTACTGAGAAAACTCATTGGCGCACAATGATTTCGCAGACGATCAATTGTATCAAAATTATTTCTACCTGGCTCCTTTTTCCCCCACTTGCAGCTCGGTATTTGCAACCTCACAAGGATCGAGGTCTTGTCAGGAAGTGTAACTAAACTAATTAACCCGCGAGTTGCTGGGGGGGGGGGCGTTAAACGCCCCCACTTTTTTCGCCGGGCCATAGCATAAAAACGGCACGCCGCAGGCGCGCCAAATTTTGGGTACCTGTAGGGAATTAATTGAAGTTTATCGTGACAAAGTTTCAAAAAAAATCGGTTGGAAAATTTTTGAGATATCGAGATTTTAGTGACGTCATGATTTCTGAGTTTTCGACCAAAAACGGCATATGTTCAAAAAATCATATAAAATCACAGAATAGACATACAGACATGCCGTAAACGCCATTAGACTGCCAATACCATTATCAATCAAATGGCTATCTTCGATTATTGATTATCGTTCCGCATTTTCCATAATCTTGAACTGAATCTTGGCAATTTTTCGTGACTACTTCACGACCATGATTCATGCATTTCTTAAATTGAACTTTTTGAGCCAAACACGTACACATATGATAAAATGAATGTCACCATCGTGTTCTACGCCCCAAATTACACATAAAACATGTGTCACAGGCTGCGAATATCAGTTTTGATTTTCGGGGATATGTGCCTACCCGGTTGACCTGACCTTGACCCTGACCTATGATTGACTGACCCCTACATGGAGCTGACACTCTTGTAGGCTTTATATGATGGATTGTGCACCGTTTTGACAGAGTTTATGACGAGAGGTGCCCATTGCGAAGTCCTGAAGTCCATGCTACTGAAAGCCCGATTTCAGGTGTTTGACCTGACCTTGACCCGACCTGTGACCTCAAAGTTCAACTTTAAAGTACTCATCTGAAGCGTCTCGTCGCGCTCTTTCGTTTGCCGCCGCGTGCGTTTCGCTGCGCCTATTGGTTCTCGAGTTATCGGCTGGGGGCGTTTAACGCCCCCCCCCCCCCCAGCAAACGGTGGGTGGCGAAATACCCCAGCAACTGCCGGGTTAATAAATCGCACGGCGCTTAACGTAACAGTGTATCATCGGTGTTAGAAACTTATTTTGAAAATATTAGTTCATATCTCCAATACTAAGTGCGCTAACCAGTTTTCTCAGTAATTCAGCTAGCAATTCTCGTGCTGTTTCCAAAAAGATGTTTACAGTGAGGGTCGAACTTAAAAAAAAACGATCTATAATAACCAGTATAGCGCCTTATGGGGCGACTAACGGAGCGAGCGAGAGGGTGGGCCTTGCACGTGCGAAATTGCGAGGGGGTACCTCCAACTGACTTGTGCACGGCACCCTACTAACCGGTCTCTAGCGATGTGCCGAACTTGAGCACAATCGGCCCAGCCGTTCTCGTGATCTGGAAGCGGCACCCTGCACGTGCGCACGTGCAAAATGGGTCCCAACTGACTTGTGCACGGCACCCTACTAACTGCTCCGTAACCGTGTACCAAATTTGAGCGCAATCGGTCCAGCCGTTCTCGAGATCTGGAATCGACCCCTGCACGTGCGCACGTGCAGCAGCACCCCAACTCTGGCACATGGATATGCATTGCCTAGTGGGTGCCTACCTACATGCCAACTTTCAGCGCAATCGGCCAAGTAGTTACCGAGATATTGCAACAATTACAAAAGTGACACCTCTTCGTTTTGCACGTGGCACGTGCATAAGGGGTCACCTACATGCATCGGGAATAGTCCAATACTTGGTAGAAGGAATGAAGCTACCCTACAAAAATTACCGCGTGTAAATCGGTCAAGTGGTTGCTGAGATATAAGCGTCGCAAAACCGTGACCACGGCCGGCCGGCCGCTCATACTCAGAAATTTCCGTTAATCTATAAGGAAAGACTCCGCTCGCTTCGCTCGCTCCGTAATAATATTGAATGCATTGCATCTCCGATTCGTGCAGCATGCACCAATGCACTGATGCACTGAAAAATATCGGTAAAATTAGACTTATATCGGTAAAAACAGACCTTTGTATTGTACATATAGCAAGAAATGAGAGCCATACGTGGTATGTACAAGTGAGTTTATAATCGGAATAGATGCGTTGCACAATGCACATGCTGGACGTATTGCTGGTAAACAGGTTTATATTTGTCTTTATATTTGTAACTCACAGTGGGCTGATAACTGAAAAGGTGATAGCAGTTGATAGAGCGCATCATCTGTTAAGGAGTAATAGCTAATAGGACTGTATTATGATAGGGCTGGTTGAGTTTCTGCGATGTTGTGTGACTCTGCTCCTTCCGGTGTGTAGGCAGCCGCCTGTGCTACGTTGGTGACCTGGTGTCCGACCGGTGTGCTACCGTGCGTCTCTGCCGTGACCGCCAGGGCCCGGGCCGCCGGGCGACGTGAGACAGCAGGGTCTGCAGCTGACCGAGCTCCACGTTTTCTGGACTACGCCCGTGCAGAGGAACGGACGCATCCTGCGCTATCAGGTGAACGTCTCGGAGTCAGAGGACGGCACTCCCCTCCAGAGCCACGAGATCAAGATCGGCCGCGACGACGAACAAGGTGAGTAGGTACCGGCCGCAATTGTAACGCAGAGCACAAAAGAGGATCTCCACTCTCCAGGACCAGGTAGTGCAAGTATGGGCGGTTACCCTCGCCCAAAGACATGAGTGGAGGGGCACCAGTCCAATACATTGACCCGTGACCACCAACGATGTCTTTGCGAGCGCAAGCGGACGGAGAAATGCACGTTTGGCTCGACTAGCCGCAACAGCGGCGGTCGGGCCAACGACCTTTCTCTGGCTGTGAGCGAGCGCTATCCAGCGCCATCTACGCAGCCGGGTGCGGCGCGCGTCAGTGTGCGTCAGCTCGCGTCGACGAGCGCACGCGAGTGTTTTACCGCCGCCACCCCGCCACCGCCGCGTTACATGTCCCATTTCTCCATGTGAGTGTTTCCCTTGGCTTTGTATTGGTCTCGTGAGTCGTGTGTACGGCGGTTACCCTCGCCCAAAGACATGAGTGGAGGGGCACCAGTCCAATACATTGACCCGTGACCACCAACGATGTCTTTGCGAGCGCAAGCGGACGGAGAAAAGAGGATCTCCAGGACCAGGTAGTGCAAGTAAAATCTGAAAGCACTATGTACAGTCTGTCTTAAAAGTACCGCGCAAAGTGACGGTGGATCCATCGAGCCTGACTGAGGAAGGGCGTGCTAAATTTGGGTCACCGAAGCAATTGACATCCTCGTCCATTCCTTAGGTCAATTGGTCGGTGACTTTCAAATTAACCCGCGCCCTGCTGGGGGGGGGGGGGTGTTTGAACACCCCACCTTGTGGTTTTTCGCGAATATCTCAAAAACGGCGGCGCTCCGCGCCGCCGTTTTTGGTACACCTTATCATACATCAATTCTACACATGTTGTGAAAATTTCAGACCAAGGTCATTCCAGGTCAGGTCACCAGGTCACTTGAAGTGACCTCACCTCATAAAAAGTTTCAATGTCTGTCATAGCTACACCGAGTGACCGATCGCGTTGAAACTTTCAGCGATTGCTAAGAGCAATACCATGTACAAAATGTTTATCTCAGAATTTTGATATCGATGACCTAAGGTCAGGTCAATTTTGCGACCTCCCCATTATAAGTCAACGGGAGAAAATTGAAATGCGCCTCTTTTGGACGAAAGACATTATAAACACTCCCAAACACCGAATTACAAGTGGTTTAGACACACAGAACAGGAAAATGGTGTCCGTGACCCTTGTTTATGCCCTGAGGTCATCTTAGGTCACGAATGGTATCTAACAGTTTTTCGCAAATAGCTTTTGATAGAGGCATGCTAGAGCGATGAAAACGCCTTAGATGTGTTCAGCTCGACGATACGGATCGACTGATATGCAACATGACCCTTTCCGGTCAGGTCATGACCTTGACCTGAGGTCAAATTTTCAAGTTGACCTTTCAAGGTCAAGTTAGGTATAGTTCATTCGATGCGTCTTGACGAGAGGAACACGATGCCGGTAAAAGTAAGCTCGTACAAGGCTTGGGTCAAAAGTTATTGCAGAAAAACTGTTTCCGAAAAAAATCGGCTATTTTTGCAGTTTTTGCCCCCTGCAGGCAAAACCGTTGACGTTAGGTCAAATCTGAGAGGATTACTCAGAAAGGGCGTTAATAGGGCTATCGAATGCGCTTTTCCGTGGCGCTGTAGCTCTATTGGTTCCCGAGTTATGCGTTGGCTTCTTGGAAATTTTTGACATGCGACCTGGAAATCGGCGAAATTTTGCCTTCAATGACCTCTGGTGACCTGACCTTTGACCTGACCAAAAAATTGACCGAAGTGATTTCGTCATTATTTTTGACGCTCTTTCGAACGCCGCCTTCTGCGTATCGCTACGTGGCCCAGGAGCCGAGTTACAAGGGGGGGGGGTGTTCAAACACCCCCCCCCCCCAGCAGGGCGTGGAAATCCAGGACCCCCAGCCGGGCGCGGGTTAAAACAGACCCTTTCTCGGTCAGGCTTGATGGATCCACCGCCACTTTGCGCGGTACTTTTAAGACAGACTGTACAGTCTGTCTTAAAAGTACCGCGCAAAGTAACGGTGGATCCATCAAGCCTGACCGAGGAAGGGCCTGCTAAATTTGAATCACCGAAGCAATTCGCATCCTCGTCCATTCCCCAGGTCAATTGGTTCGGTGACTTTCAAATTATAGGAGGCCCTTCCTCGGGCAGGCTTGATGGATCCACCATCACTTTGCGCGGTACTTTTAAGACAGACTGTACAGCTGATGCGTAGATACCTTTTACTTTCAACACGCGAACATCTGCAGGAACATGGAATGAGGCCACAAATTCATCAGCTCAGGTCACCCTACGTAGTGCAAACGTGTCTCATGTACTCATCACGTACAATCCAGATTCTCGTGGTAAACCTCTAAGCCGCCTGCGACCCGGCAGCACGCCACCACAGCCTGCTGGTGGAGGGCCTGGAGGCGGGTCACCGCTACCTGGTCCGGGTGGCCGCCAGCACGGCCGTCGGACAGGGCAACAGCGCCGCCGCCTGGCTGGAGACGCGCGTGCCGCCGCCGCAGCTGCCGGCCTCGCCCGAGGTGCGGCATGACCTGGTGACGGACAGCACGGTGCAGCTGCGGCTGCCGTCGGCCGCCGGCGCCGGCGGGCCGCCCGTCTCGCGCTACTACGTCATCGTCTCGGAAAACCTGGATCTGGACGGCGCAGCGGTGGAGGCGTACCCTGCCGACGACCTGCCCAACGCCGAGGAGGCCAGTCGCAGGGGCATCAGCTTCTACGTGGCCGCTGTGGCTGATCCGGTAGGTGCCGGAAATGGGAACGGACAGCGGACGACTGATAGACTGTTACAGTACGAGATACCCACTCGTACCCGTAAATGTCTTGGTTGATTAGGATGAAATTGCATATCGGCATTATACTAGTAGAAAGCAACTATCTTGATGGCAGAAAAAATTTACCGTTTGACGTGCACACTGTCTGCAGGTTAAGTATGGGCCTGTGGTCATCACGCCAATTCATTCGCCTAATCATTGTTGAAAAAGATGCATTGCATGAATGTTGCTTGCAACTTTGTCTTTTGTGTCTTTTTGTCTTCGGTGTCTTTTATGCTGATCCACATATGACCAGTATAACGCCTTTTGGGGCGACCAACGGAGCGAGCGAGAGGGTGGGCCTCGGACGTGACAAATCGCGAGGGGGTACATACCTCCAACTGACTTGTGCACGGCACCCTACTAACCGGTCTCTAGCGATGTGCCAAATTTGAGCACAATCGGCCCAGCCGTTCTCGAGATCTGGAAGCGACACCCTGCAAGTGCGCACATGCAAAATGGGTCCCATCTGACTTTTGCACGGCACCCTACTAACTGGTCCCTAACCGTGTACCAAATTTGAGCGCCATCGGTCTAGCCGTTCTCGAGATCTGGAAACGACCTCTGCACGTGCGCACATGCAGCAGCACCCCAACTCTGGCACATGGATATGCATTGCCTAGTGGGTGCCTACCTACATGCCAACTTTCGGCGCAATCGGCCAAGTAGTTACCGAGATAATGCAACTATTGCAAAACTGACGCCTCTTCGTTTTGCACGTGGCACGTGCATAAGGGGTCACCCACATGCATCGGGAATAGTCCAATACTTGTAGAAGGAATGAAGCTACCCTACAAAAATTACCGCATGTAAATCGGTCAAGTGGTTGCTGAGATATAAGCGTCGCAAAATCGTGACCACGGCCGGCCGGCCGGCCGGCCGCTCATACTCAGAAATTTCCGTTATTCTACGTAAGACTCCGCTTGCTTCGCTCGCTCTGTAACCAGTATAACGCCTTTTGGGGCGACTAACGGAGCGAGCGAGAGGGTGGGCCTTGCACGTGCGAAATTGCGAGGGGGTACCTCCAACTGGCTTATGCACTGCACCCTACTAACCGGGCTCTAGCGATGTGCCAAATTTGAGCGCAATCGGCCCAGCCGTTCTCGAGATCTGGAAGCGACACCCTGCACGTGCGCACGTGCAAAATGGGTCCCGACTGACTTTTGCACGGCACCCTACTAGCCGGTCCCTAATTGTGTATCAAATTTGAGCGCAATCGGTCCAGCCATTCTCGAGATCTGGAATCGACCCCTGCACGTGCGCACGTGCAGCAGCACCCCAACTCTGGCACACAGATATGCAGTGCCTAGTGGGTGCCCACCTACATGTCAACTTTCAGCGCAATCGGCCAAGTAGTTTCCGAGATATTGCTACTATTACAAAACTGACACCTCTTCGTTTTGCACGTGGCACGTGCATAAGGGGTCACCCACATGCATCGGGAATAGTTCAATACTTGGTAGAAGGAATGAAGCTACCCTACAAAAATTACCGCATGTAAATCGGTCAAGTGGTTGCTGAGATATAAGCGTCGTTGAATCGTGACGTGACCACGGCCGGCCGGCCGGCCGGCCGCTCATACTCAGAAATAGTTCCGTTATTCTACGTAAGACTCCGCTCGCTTCGCTCGCTCCGTAATCACGATTTCTTTAGGAGCACGTGGATACAAACGGGACGTTCGTTATTGGCGATGGAAAGTACTACAACACTTCTGAGAAGTCCTATTACAACCAACCTCTGAAGACCGACCATACCTACCGGATCGGCATGGCGGCGCTATCCAGGCTGTCAGCCGACAACATGGGACTCAGTTTTAGAGCCGTGGACGAGCCTATCACCGTCCGAGCTCCAAATGGTAATATTTTGCACGAAGTGCCTCCAGTTCTGTTATTTAGAAGCTATGTAGCCCGTAGCTATGTAGTAGAAGCTATGAGTAGTAAAGTAATCTTGATGTAGCCTCTGAAAGCTGAGACTTATGTTATTTGCTTTCGTGAGATGATGTTTTTCGTACTCCAGCGTAGATGGGTAGCCATACGGCTTCCACGGTTGACAGTGATAACATCCGTCATCTTTTGCAAGCTCGTTAAAGATTTGGGCTGTACGGGGACTCGAACCCCGGGCCTTTGGATTAGCGCTCCAATGCTCTATCTCTGAGCTATACAGACCAAGACTTGGTCTGTATAGCTCAGAGGTAGAGCATTGGAGCGCTAATCCAAAGGCCCGGGGTTCGAGTCCCCGTACAGCCCAAATCTTTAACGAGCTTGCAAAAGATGACGGATGTTATCACTGTCAACCGTGGAAGCCGTATGGCTACCCATCTACGCTGGAGTACGAAAAACATCATCTCACGCTCTCAGTCCCAGCGGGTAAAAACAACACCTAAGAGTTATTTGCTTTCATTTCAAGCTATTCTCATGCAATTCCTTGCCTTCTTATAACAGTTCTATTTGTGTCACTTTTAATCGTGGTTTTATGTGTTCCTTTTCAGCGACCGGTACTATACTGGGCAGTCTTTTCGGTATCATGCTGATTCTGCTCATCGTGATCGGGGCTTTGGCATTCAGGTAAACTAGCAGCGACCAGGGTTGTATACGACTCAATCAATAGCAATCAATTCAATCACGACAAAGTTGGGAAACCAATCAAATCAATCAAGTCAGAGCAGTTTTCGGAATTTGATTCAATCGACTCAAACGCGACAATGAAAGGAATCAATCAACTCAATCAAACGACTCAAACTCAAACTCAAACTCATCAAACAGTTGTAATGACAAGCAGTTTTCAGTGTAGTTTTGTAATCTTTGATGTCATCAATTGGTGTCATTATTTTTCGTCAACTAAAACTTATTTGAACTTTCCATTCAATCGACTCAATCATACGAGTCACTCTAATTTTCGGGAATCAAATCATTCAACCAGTCGCTAAAGTCAAACGAGTCAGTCAGCCAGTCATCTCGAAAAGTCAATCGACTAAATCCAATCAACTCAAAATACACGTTGAAACAAATCAATCAATTCAATCGACTTGATTGGTATACAACCCTGGCAGCGACAGCGACTGTTTTGGTTTATCGAACTTCATTAGGCCTTTTGTAACGTGCACGCTTTTTTGGCAGTGTTTTGCTATCATCCGCCAACTAACGGCAGTTTTCCGTTATGTGTAAGTGAAGTAAGGTGAGAAATGCGCATTTTTTTCCAATTCTTGAGACATGATACAGCAACTTCCATTTTTTTTTTCAGAAGGTCCCTGCTGGCTCAAAAGGCAGCCACCGTTAACAATCACGAGGAAGGAAGCCCTTGTAAGTGCGTAAGCAAAACTAGAACATCAAATGCTTTGAAAATTGAACGGGTAATTGACTTATCGTGTATCGATAAAAGCTAAGTTTCAAATCAACCGAAATATAATCGCGTTGGGGAACTTTTTCGGCTGGGGCCTGGGGCCATTCGGCATGGGGGGCCCCAGTTTGCAAGTCGTGCCTCCTCCGTTCAAAATTCCTGTGCGCGCGCCTTTTGAGAGATATGCACCACCTATGCTCATTGGAAGCGCCCTTATCCTCATTGAAGGTCGCCCCCTTCACCAAGTGCACCCCCACAACCAAAAAAATATTGACACCGTTAGCGATGTAATTGCACAGTACATATCTGAGCACTTGAGGAAGGATAATTTAGTCCCTTTGCCGCTTAAATTACACGCATTAGCTTCTAAATGAACACCAAGAAGAAGGTAATAGAATACTGTTAGGAGGGTTGGGTGTTTTACTACACCATGATATAACGTTAACGGTGTTAAATTACCCTGAAGCTCTTTTTAAAAGTATGCTATTATCCTTAAGTTACCCCATTTACGCGGTTAAAAACACCGTGGAAGACCTTTTCAACAAATAGTACATATCTGAGCAGTTGAAGGAGTTTTTTTACACCCATGGTATATCTACGAAAACACACTTAATCTACTAAAAATATAGTTCTACGATTCTATTAATGCAACGTTTTTACTTTTATAAACCATATTATAGGTATTAAAACACGTGCATATTAAAATAATACCGTTGGTTAATCTTAATATTTCAAGGTATATAACATCCGTAGCTTCTTGCAAATGTCCAAACAAAGTGCCTCAACGAATACAAAACATGTTTATTCGCATGTTTAAACACTGGCGTCGTAAACCAAGTAAAACGAAACCGAAAATCACCATTTACGGCTAAGTTAGCATTTTTGCATCTCGCGATTGTATTGTATTGTATTGACACTTGAAAACTCATTCATCATAACATGGCTATTCTAGAGTTCGAGTCAGATGAAGGGACATGATGAACAATCATTCAAAAACTACACAGACGTACGAGTACACACACTTCCTAACACTTGTTGTCTAAAAGTGGCCCAGGTCCTTTTTTACATGTACCTTAAAAGCACCCGGTGTCTTTAGTAACGGCCGCTGGCAGCTCGTTAAAAGTAGACACAGCCCGGTAGCGAAATCGCCTCCTGCCGGACTCGGATCGTATGTGAGGGAGGGAGAGGTTCGCATCCTGCCGCGTGCTCCGCTCTCTCCTCTGCCCCACCGAGACCAGCCCTTCGGCAATGTCGAGAGGTTCGCCGGTCACCATAATACGCTTGAGAAGGCACAGAGTGTGGTACATTGCCAACTCGCGCGCTGGAAGCGAGGCTAGATCTGTGAGCGCATCACTTATATGGTTGTGCTTACCATAGAGATCTTATATACATAGAGATGACACGCCTATGTTAAAGGGACCCTCCCACCTTCAAAAAAGTTAATGAATTGGCATGAAAGTGATGTCGCTCGGTTCAGAAAGAGCAAAAACGAATATCTACCAAATTTCATCGAAAAATATTCACCGGTTTTCAAGATATTAGACTTTTACTTTTGTTTACTTTTTGGGATCTCCGCTGTTCCTAGCGACTTTATTTGAAAGTGCGGCATTTGTTGCGCGCAAAGCAGCATATACCACCGCGTGCTACAAAACGTTTTAGTCAAACATTTAACGGACGTTCGAAAGCCTGATGACGTCATCAGATTCCCGTAATGGTTAAGAGATAGGGACCACGCTGGTCCCACCCTGCAAGTAAAGGGAAGAAATTTCTTGAACACCATAAAGCTGCGGGGGTTGCGACCAGGATAAATGGTGGTTTCTGAGCCTGGCCGCAAACTTGGCTATCTCAACTCAAAACTAATGTTAAGGTGGGAGGGTCCCTTTAAAGCACTTGATTTCGTGGCGATTCAGTGAATCTTTTTAAGCACGAGGTCGACACCTCAAGTTGACCTCACCCGAACAAAAAGTATACCATTCGACGCGCCTGAGCGAGGCGAACACGATGATGCCAAAATCGCGGCTCTCCGACCGTTTTTTGCGAAGTTTTGAAAAACTGAACCCTTGCCTTGAATCGCCGCCCACTGCTTTGGGGGCGGCGACACATCGGTCTTCAGGATCACGGCACACATCAGGTAGCCGGCCAGACGGATGGCTGGGCGGTTGAACGACTGCGCAAACACTGTGAACGCGGCCCCCCACGTCAGCAGCTTGTTCACCTTTGCCGTTAGCTCCTTAAACTGCACTGCTGGCACGCCCTTTATGGCGTGGAAGTCGTCCACCACATGAGGCCGTGGCTGCGGCGCCGATGTGAACACAACTTGGTGCTCTTTAGCACGGTGCAGAGAAGATGGTCGATCGCATCGTCTGCGACGGAAAAATTTACCTTCAGAAATCAAGGCCACGAACTGCAAACTTTAATTTGGTACAGTATGCCTCTCGCAATTTTAACCCACGTCTTGCTGGGGGAGGGGGAGGGTGTTTGAACACCCCTTCTGTGGATTTTCGCGAATATCTAAAAAAAAACGGCGGCTCTCCGGGTCACCTAAAGTCAGGTCGCCAGGTCAAGCCAAGTGACCTCACTACTTAAAAAGTTATAAAGCCTACCATAGCTACACCTAAGTGACCGATTGCTTTGAAACTTGCAGCGATTGATAAGAGCAACAGTTTGTACAAAATGTATATCTTAGCATTTTGATGTCGATGGCCTAAGGTCAGGTGCATTTTACGACCTCTCAGTTAAAGGTAAGTAAATTGGAGACAATCGAAAGGCGCCTCTTTTGGACGTAAGTCATATTGGCCGTTTTCACGACGGGCTACCCGGCGAGTGCACCTAATTTGACCAAATCTGACCTAATTTGATTGACCTAATTTGACCAAAGGCATATAAGCAATTAGTGCAACCACACTTAACATGAAAATGGCACCCGTGACCCCGTTTTATGCCCCTGATGACATCTCAGGTCACGAATGGTATCTGACAGTTTTTCGCGAAGAAATTTTGATAGAGGCATAGAACGATGAAAACACCTTCGTTGTGTTCATCTCGACGAACGGATCAACTGATATGCAACCTGACCCTTATCGGTCAGGTCATGACCTTGAACTGAGGTCAAATTTTTAAGTTAACCTTTCAAGGTCACATAATAGTTTATTCAATGCGTCTTGACGAGAGAAACACGATTCCGGTAAAAGAAAGTTCGTGAAAGGCTTAAGTCAAAAGTTTTTGCTGAAAAACTTTCAGAAAAATATATCTATTTTGGCAGTTTTTACCCCTCCCCCGCATGCAAAACCACTGACGGCAGGTCAAATCTGAGAGAATTAATCAGAAAGAGCGTTAATGGGCTATCAAAGGCGCTTTTCTGTGGTTTTGTAGCTCTATTAGTTTCCGAGCTATGCGTTGATCTGATCAAAATTTGAATGTTGTCAAAATTTGAAAATTATCAAAATTTAACCTGGAAATCGGCGAACTTTTGCATTCAATGACCTCTGTTGACCTGACCTTTGACCTGACCAAAAAGGTGACCGAAATAATTTCTTCCTTATTTTTGACGTGCTTTCGAACGCCGCCTTCGCCGTATCGCTACATGGCCCAGGAGCTAAGTTAAAAGATGGGTTCAAACGTTTCCTCCCTCCCCCCCCCCCCCAGCAGGGCCTGGAAATCTAGGAACTCCCGCGGGGTGCGGGTTAGAAGATGCTTGTGAGCATAACATTAAAATATGTTTAGAGTAAATAGTGCTCGCATATATTACTTTGAAATTGACGATAAAAATGTGTTAATCATACTCAATGTCTATAGGTATTGAGTATCCACTGTAGTTTACTACAGTGGATATAACGATGAACTTCTATGATCTCTTATAAGAAGCACGAATGAAATTCCACATTTTTCTGCTCTTTTTTAAATACTTTCCGTGTAAGTGTATACGGGTATATCAAACTGTTAACGGGACGTTCATAAATACATGAGCTTTTGGTACCTATTCGGTTACGGTTCCAACATTCCCGGGTAAAATGTTGTTAACTTACCATCTGTGAGGCATCCAGCTGCTCTTTCACCTTCGCCATTGGCCACAATCGGGGCCATGGCTTCCCGGGAGAGTTCCAACTCGTTGGTGTCCTGCAAGTCGGCATTTTTTTATCCGACTCAGCTCTTTCCAGACCTGAAAACAAAGGATTAATGACGCATGCTGAAGGACGACTATACCAGTAAGACGCCATCGATATTCGCATGGCCGGCTTAAATTCTTCTACTTCTTACTGCAGCGTCTGAAAATTAACTGCCAATCCAGTTCCGTTATCGGTGGTCATGCAAATGCGATGTCACACAAGCACATCTGTTTTACAGTAGCATTAGTAACTCTCGCAATCCCTACCGTGCGGCGGACATGACCTTGGGGTTATGCATGCATTGTCGGTATAAGTACAGACTTGTGCCTCAGCCAAAAATCAAGATCCAAGATCCGCAAGATCCCATGCAATGCCAGGATTTCAGAATACTGGATCTCCTTGATCTCATTGAAAAATATAATATAATTTTAGGATCCAAGATCCCCTGGAACGCACGTATAAATAACACTTTAGGATTCCGGACCCCACGCGAGAACGAAATGCCAGAGTTCAAATTTCCTGGATCCAACGTAAATGTCATGTCTGTAGACATAAAATTAAGCGTTAAGTTTGAAGTTTAGGGCCAGCGAAGCAGGTTGTGCACAAAGACTTATTAAACAACCTTGTACGCCTCGCTAAATGCAAAGCATTTTGAAATTTAGCAAGAAAAATGTGTTCTCAGAGACTAAATGTAGGATACAAGATCCCCAGAATCAATCCACAGAGCAAAAATGTAAGATTCAAGATCGCCGGTATTCATCGACAAAAGAAACATGTTGGATCAAGGACCAGCAGGGTCTCCAAAAAGTATTGATGAATTTATAATCAGATAGAAGAACTGCGCTCTTGGCTCCTGTGGATCGGATCATTTTCGGATATTGGCCCTAGTCTGTCGGTAACAAGGGAAACAAAATACACATGAGGGCGGGTGCAAAATGACTCAAGATGAGCTTCAGAAAGAAAACTGACTCTGAGAGCCGGTGAAGGCGCGTCTGCAGTTGCATGCACCAAACCACCTGACTCTGACTGCATAGGATCGCTAATTTACAACGCATCAGACCATGTACAGTGATTCATGTTATCTATGACAATGTACCTACTTTGTTTTCATCGACGACGGATGGTGGCCATCGGGATTTTCCTCTTGACGATGAGGTGTCGCCTCTCTGAGAAAGTGGCCTCCATGGCACCGTCCAGCTGAGGAGATGAGAACATCATGATAGAATCAATTCGACCATGCCTGGTATCTAGATCTCACTCTTTGGGGGTGCAGGGGTGGGCTTTTAGAAGAAGCACTTGGGGTGCTCATTTTTAGAAGGATTCGGCCAAATGATTCAATTAGGGGAGAGTGGTGCAGGAGGCCCCCCCCTTAAGCTCAGTTGCTATTTTTAGACAACTGATAATATTTAAGAGCTAACGTGTGCATGCGCTGTGAGCATGCATCATTTTCCCATACATATTTGCATTCAAAATGAATCTAGGGGGTACACAAACCGTAAACTTTAACATTTTGGAAAAATTTGCAAAAGGGCCTCTTACACTATGGGTATGGTAAGACCCCCCGGGCGTTTAACAAGGCAAGTCGACTTGTAAAAGACGCTTTGCGAACACAGCTGCAAGGCCTTTTATTTCGAAAAACTAAGCAAATACGGTGTTATCGAAACCAAAAACACTTCCAAAGCGCTCGAACAACGCGAAAACTAGCACAACCAAACGCTGATGACCAACGAAAATTGTACCTATTACCTCTTAGAAAAGAAACAGAAAAAAGAAACAAAAACAAACTCCTTGAAAAAAGAATGCCACGCCTGCCGCAGGTGCAGGCGTTTTATCATCGGGGGCGTTTTTTTATCGGGAGGCGTTTTATCATCCTCGAAGGGAGGGCCTCTTAACCCTCGCCCGTAAACGGCGATCTGCCACCTTCGCCCATGCAGGGGGGGGGGGGTGCGACCCCCCCCCTTGGCGTTTGAAAACGGAGCGTCGTAGAGCTTAGCGGAAAAGACCAACGGATTGCTCTCGCCGAGATCTCGCGATTGGTGGTATATTTTTTGGTCCTAGGTCAACATTTGACCTACTTTTGACCTGTCAAAGGTCAAATTTTCGGAAAAATAAACTTTTTTCAACTTTCCGCGGCGATTGCGGCAAAACGGTGGGAGATATCGACTTGAAATCTTCACTATCGTGTTCCTTGATCAATTCTCTATCGTTTGGTATGTATTTCGTTTCCCTAGCTCTAAAAATGGCGCGTTGGGAGCGCCGGAAGTCGGCAAGGTCACAGTCGGCGGCAGAAATTCGAAAAATCAAAATTTAAATTTTTGAAATCTGATTGTATTTTTGGATTTGGAAGGTCCATTTGCTCCCTATAGAAGCTAATATTGCTGCATATTCCCATTGAGCTGACAAGAATTAGCAAACTAGTGGTTCGGGCGCTTTTCAAAAATAGTACCGGACGCTGTTCCTCTTGTGACGTCATAGCTCCGTGACCTGACCTGACCCGGTCAAGTTTCTTATACCATATGATAGCCAATACTTGCCCCAACATGCATGGGAAGTTTCATCACGATCCATCAACCGATGTCCGTACCACCGGCAGGAAACCTCGGGCGTTGGCACTCAGTTTGTGAAAATCCGGCCGGAGGCTGTTCCCTTTGTGACGTCATAACTCCGTGACCTGACATGACCCGGTCAAATTTTTTTTTATCAAAAGATGCGCAAGGTTTGCCCCATAAGGTACCCAAAATTTGGCGGCGCTGCGCGCCGCCGTTTTTGCACTATTTCCGAAAAACCTCAGGGGGGGGGTTGCACCACCCCCCCCCCTACATGGGCGAGGGTTAAAAAAATGCAGTGTTCTAACGTCACAATATTTATGGTTTATGAGACATTTGCAGCGCACCAGAACAGGGTCTATTCTGAAGCTAACATGTGACAATTTCGATGAGATAAGATTGTATTTGATAGCCATTGTTTTTTCAGATATATAAGGGTGATAAAGATGCATATGTCTAGCAAGTAAAGGGGCAAAAACAGAAAAAGACTTACCAAAAGTCGCTGCGACGCACCTGATGCCTCAGGTTTCGTGAGTTGTTGTTTCAAGAGGGCTTCTGCTTTACAAGAACATTAAAAAATAAATAACATTATTGGTTTGGTAAAAAAAGCGATGGGGCCTCTTACCAACCCTGGGCGTCTTACACGGATCTCCCCTACAAGTCGTTTATTACAAAAATACTAGATGAACTACGAGGAAGATGAAAAACATGATGAAAAGCTGACCTAGCCTTACCTTATAACCTACTAACTAGACCTTACAACCTAAATAGGTACCTACAATCTACCAGCCTACATCTTACAACATACAACCTTCCACTGCCTACCACTCGAACTTCATTTGCACATATACCACCTATCCTAACCTATAGATGTTTGCACCAGGGTTTGAGCATTAAGGGCTGGCAGAAATAGATGCTACAGGCAAAGGCTTAAAGAAAATACTTGATGTTTTTAATTATTCTGTTAGGCTTCACGCTGGCAAAGCTGCCCGTAGAATAACATGTTAGGTTTCACTGTAGGGGCATGTTGAGCATGACTGAAATGATATTCCACATTTTGATGGATATTATGAACCCCTCAAAAAGGCTTTCATGTTATAGACAATACATAACTAGGAGGGTCAACCAACCCACAGGACAACCCAAGGTATCAGTAGTGTTGTGTGAGTGCACATGTAGGTACATTTTCAATGAAAATATGCATTTTGCACTTAAACATACCTACAGGCAATAAAATGCGTAACATTTAACACTCACCAGTCGCTCCAGCCTCCAATTCACTGCGTCCGCCGCGTCCCGTGCTGCACTTCCGTCACAAACATGCAAGATGGCGTCATGGCGGTAATATTAACGCGTAAGGCTTGTGTAAAGCAGCTCATGGATAATTCACGGTTGAACATATTTACCGGCGCATCATTGGTTTCCTTAAGCTGCGTTTGAAGAGTTAATGATTTCAAACTGGTTTTTGAACTCATTACTCACGAACAATGAGTTAGCAAGAATCCCTGTCCTCTTTTTCATGAGTTCTTAAACCCAAACGTTTAGTTTCACTAACTCACGGGTCGTGAGTACATTCCTTACTCGCCTTACATGAGTTTGCGAGACTCAACAGGGAGTTTTGATACCAATGTTTTGTGCGTCATGAGTCAGGCAACTCATAGGGAGAAGGTCATGCATTTGGGCAATTGAGTTTTCAAAACGAGTAAACTTTTACTCTTGAGTGTTAACGCTCCACGCATGAGTTACTCATCCAAATATACTCATGAATGGCGAGTCAAATATGAATTACTCTCCCCTCATGAGTAGATTTGTTTTCAGTGAAGGCATTCTTCTGGTCCAATGCACAACATTTTATGCTTGAGTCTCAGAGACACTCCCAAAGCGTCAGAATTTTGGCAGATGGTCCATCCAGTATTGATCCTGCTATTCGCACCATTTTTGTCCACCATTTTCACTGGGTGGCCTTTGCCCACCCAGTGAAAATTCGTTATCCGAGGCCCTGGCAATCGGAGGTCGTGACCGGGCGACCTTGGAGTGTTGCGCGGCTGGAGGTCAATAATAGTGACCCCAGGTGAATGGACGGCGATGGCGCGGCCGGAGGTCATGACCAGTGACCTCGGGAGAGTAGCCGGCCGGCCATGGCATGGCAGGCGGTCATGGGGTGACGGCGGGCGTACGATGAAATGGCTGAAGAAGGCCATAAACGGTGGCCTTAGGCAAGAGGTCGATTGGCATGGGGCGGTGCCTGGGTCATGAGTCGGACCACAGGTGTGTGGGCAGCTGAAGGTTATAAACAACCACGAGTGGTGACATCTGGGGACCTCAGGTGAGTACACAACCGAGGTTTTGGCGGCGCGTTGCCCAACGAGAGGTCACGACACGAGTGATGACCTAAGGTGAGTACTGTAGTCAGCCAAGGTCATAAGTGGCACCTCGGGTGTGTGGCGCGGCCAAAAGGTAGCAAACGGTGACCCAAGAGTGAGTCAGCCGGCGTGTGGGCGCCCAAAAAGGTCATGACCGGTGACGTTAGACGCGTGGCGCGTCGGTTGGTCATGTGCAGTGACCATACATATGTGTGAGTTTGACCGCCGACCTCAGGGGAGTGGCGCGGTGGAAGGTGATGAGCGGTGACCCGATACGTGCGTTCGGCGGGCGTGTGGCGCGTACATACATACAGGGGTCACTAGTAGTGCTCTTAGGCGCGTAGCCGGCTGAGGTCAGGACAGGTGACCTCAGGTGCATTACGCCGCTGAAGGTAAGGTGAAGGCGTCGTGAGATGAGACTTTTTTATTTCTTTCAGCTGGCGAGCGGGGCGGCCGGGGGTCATGACTTGCGACCACAGTGGGGGCGCAGCGGTGGCATGAACACCCTACCCTACCCGTCAGTCGGCTGGGGGGTCATGAGTGGTGAGCTCGGCGAGCGGCCGGCTGTCGACGGCGAGGCCGAAGATCACGACGATGATCAAGGCGTTAGTTTTCTTGGCTGGGGAGCTGGAGTTGGCCCGGCCTCGGAACAGGGGAGAATTCTGAATTACGAGTGGGGACCTCAGGTGAGTAGTCGGTCAGCGATGGCGCGGACGGAGGTGACAGGTGATGATCCCAGGCGGATGAAGCGGATGGGGTCACGGGACCCTAGTCGTGAGTTCTGCCGCCGATGGCACGGCTGGAGGCGTGAGCGGTGACCTCAGGTAGGTATGTATAGCGGTTGGGGTCGCGAGAGGCCTACTATGGATGCGCTTTGACGGAGGGGCGTGGCGACGGTCATGACCGATGACTTCAGATGGGCGACACGCCGGTACTTCCGGTGGATTGCGGGTTCCTCCGAATTGGCGGGTTTGGCGGCGGTTCTCTCGAGAGAACTACATCAGCCAACTATGTGAACGTGATGCCCGCGTGCAGAACGGACCGCGGACGTCAACAGCCACCTTAGCGGCGGAGAGGCTAAGGCCGGGGAGCGACACACGGCAAAGGGAGGGAGGGAGTGGGGTTGGAGGGGGGGGGGGGTAAATTAAGTGGAGATACGACACGGGGAGGGAGGGGGCGGCGCAGGACGCGGGGCGGGAGGGCAGGAGGCCGGCGCGCGGGTGTCAGTCGGCACAGGGCTGCGTGCGCGTCAACACACGCAGCAGTGATTTTTTATTAGCCAACTAGTTTTTTTTTTCTCGTCTAAGGGGGCACCGTTGTGAACCCGCGGCGGTGTGGTTCTCTCGACAGAACTCGTCAGCGGGGGATCGACCTTACATCAGCCAACTATGTGAACGTGATGCCCGTGCAGAACGGATCGCGAACGTCAACTTCTCATAAAGCCAGGAACCGTCGGGGCAGCTTGTCTTCCCTAAATTGGCTTTCGTGGGTCACAAAGGAAAACTGAGTGGAAGAAAACATTTAGATAGAAAAAATCCCCCTGTTTACCTGGCTTGACAGCTCATGTGGAAGATTTCTTCTTCCAGGTTACCAAAAGGTAGTTCCTTGGCTCAGATGAGACGGAATATCTCACTTTTTGCAAATGTTTTCGTTTCGTTTTTTTTTTCGTTGAAAAGGCCAAGGTGTGAAAAATAAGTCGCCAAAAACCGGTGAGAAAACTAGATTTGGGGGTACCCTATCTTCTAGAAAGTATCAGGTGTGCCCCCCTCCCAAGCTTGAAAGTAGTTCCCGCGCCACTGCTATTATTTCAACGATCCACATGCTAATGTTGATGATATTTTGGTTAACACCTACTCCAGCACAAGTGCCAATGGAAGAGCTCCACTCCAATCCGGGTGGAGAGGAATGCAACGAGGACCACCTCTACGAATGCATCACGGATCCGGATGGAGAGGAGGGAGACGAGAATTACACCTACGAATATATGGCGGTGCGTTGGATTTTGCGCATTTCAAAATGCTCGCGCGTGCGTGCGTGCGTGCGTGCGTGCGTGCGTGCGTGCGTGCGTGCGTGCGTGCGTGCGTGCGTGCGTGCGTGCGTGCGTGCGTGCGTTCGTGCGTGCGTGCGTGCGTGCGTGCGTGCGTGCGTGCGTGCGTGCATGCGTGCGTGCGTGTGTCTGTGTGTCTGTGTGTGGTGTGTGTGCGTGCGTGCGTGCGTGCGTGCGTGCGTGCGTGTGTGTGCGTTTGGAGAAGGGAGGGAGGGAGGGAGGGAGGGAGGGAGGGAGGGGGAGGGGAGAGGGAGAGGGAGAGGGAGAGGGAGAGGGAGAGGGAGAGGGAGAGGGAGAGGGAGAGGGAGAGGGAGAGGGAGAGGGAGAGGGAGAGGGAGAGGGAGAGGGAGAGGGAGAGAGAGAGAGAGAGAGAGAGAGAGAGAGAGAGAGAGAGAGAGAGAGAGAGAGAGAGAGAGAGAGAGAGAGAGAGAGAGAGAGAGAGAGAGAGAGAGAGAGAGAGAGAGAGAGAGAGAGAGAGTGACCAAATTGGCAACTTTTACTTACGTACCTATACCTAAGTTGAAGGACATGCCATGTTTAGAATACCCGTTCAGCCGGTGTAACTCTTACCGATTCTCTGCTGTACTTGTTTTCGCCACCGCAGCCGCAGTTCCTGAACAAGTCGCGGGTTCGCTTGTCGGAGCTGGTGGCAGTCGCTCGGAACACGGATCTGCTACAGTCGCAGTTCGCAAGCCTGCCGCTGGGTCTAACACAGCCCTGCCTCTACGGCAGTCTGCCGCAGAACCGGGCCAAGAACAGATACTGCAACCTGCTGCCGTGTGAGTGGGCCTGAGAGTCACCGTGGCCGGCGAGTGGGTCTTACGACAGTTTTTTTTTTGCGAATGGTTCATTAAGCGTTGAAGGTATTAAGGATTTCTTTTTTTTTGTGCAAAATATCAGATTTTTGTTTCAGTGTTATGTAGAGAGGAAGGTACTTGATGCCCCAATCCGAGGCCATTTATCCCAAATTTGCCTAATTTTCAAATGGTGGCTACTAAAAGTTGAAGCCTGCCTGCCATCCAACAACCTCTAGCGTACGAGTTTCAGGTGCTTGGATAATTTCACTGTGAGGTTGATATGTTTTTTTTTCTTGGGGGCTCTGATTTGTTAGTTTTTCAGTTTTGTTAATTTTAGTTTATTTTTATGATTGTCCATTTTGTTCAAAGATGATGTATTCATCCATTTACCCTCGCACGACTTGGGAGGGGAGGGGGGGGGGGTCTACAGAGCCTCCCTTCTAGTTCTCTGCAATATCTTCTAAACCGCTGATCATCACGAAACTTGCAGTATCTTTTGGCTGCATCAATTTAACGCCTAGTGTGCAAATAAAATTTCGTAGCAATCATAGGTCGATCGGAAATGACGTCATAGTGACGTCAAGTTTGGCCGATTTTGATGCAAAACATCGAACTGCGGCAATCGCTCTCAAGCAGTGGCGGTCGCAGGGGGGGGGGGGCATCAGGGCCATGGCTCCCCCAAAGGCAAATCAGGGGGCCATCATATCATTTGCCCCCCCCCCCCAAAAAAAAAAAACAACCGATGGGCCCCCATGGGCATATGGGGCCCAGGCCCGTATTCGATTGTCACGAGGCTCGGGAAAACCCACGCCAGCTATTAACAGCTCCCATACCGGTCTTTGTGGGTCCTACACTGACCTCTTATGGCCCTTCAGTAGCGGCCAAGCGCCCACAATTTGACCGCTGAGGACCCACATTGACCTCTGAGGGCACTCCACTGGCCTTTGAGGGCCCCTAAACCGGCCTCAGGGGCCCAACCAGCGGCTGAGGGCCTCACGCCGGCCTCTAATGGCCTCATTTCTGTCTTAACCCGCGCCCAGATGGGGTCTGCCGAGCAACGCGGTCTGATGGGGGGGGGGGCCATTTTGGCCCCCCCCCCCTCAGATCTCGAGAACCACGCAACATAGCGACAAGCGGTAAACGGTGTTGGATAGCCCCAGCGGGGAACTACCTTGTGACCCAATTTCATTGACCTCGGTCAAACCGATGACGTCACAGGTCAGGTCAAAGGTCGAATTTTCACCGTTTACAGGCATTTCAAGAAATGCGTTGTAAAATCGAGTAAAATGCATTTCATTGAAAATCATCGATGGAGAAATGTTCTTCAAACACATATTTTGCTATCTGAGGTCACTGATACCAGGTCAGGTCACAGAGGTCAGGTCACTGGGGGGGTCACAATATGAAAGTGTCGTGTGATACATGTTTTATGGTCCATTTTACATGACAAATGCGATTATGTGGGTCAGACAGACTTTAGGGCCAGCTTAGGTCACGTTTTGGTCAAGGTCAGGTCAAGGTCAGGTCAAGGTCAGGTCAAATTAGGTCAAATTTCAAAGTTTTTATTTTTGCATAAAATGGATATCGATTCGATGCAGCTCGTCACGGGGAGTTCAATGGTGGTCTCTGTTTTGCGTTACGAGGTCTAGAATTGCTAAAAATTAAGTTCAAAAATTTGACGTCATCAATTTTTAACAGTTTTTTCGCTATAACTTGGCCAAAAAAGAGGTATCGATCTAAAATTTGGTATGTATATCGAAGAGCGCAGGGACTATCACATATCTTCCGGTTTTTTCGAAATTCGAAAATATTTTGGAATTTTTTTGAGTTTTTCTAAAAAAAATCAATTTTTTTGATTTTTGGGGGTCAAAATCCCAAAATTTCGAAAATCCGAGATAGCAGTTTTGTAGCGCCGTCTTTTCTCTACACAACCACATAAAGAACTTTAAAATTGCTTGTTAACTGTAGAATTGGTGAGCGTTTCAAGATGTCATGTTTTTTGCTCATTTTTGCTCGAACATGACCTCAGTTTGACCTCAATAACTCCTGACCTGAGGTGACCTGTGACTTGAAATTTTGTGTGAAGGTGTCAAATTGATGCCCGGTAAGGAACCCAAAATTTGGCGGCGCTGCGCGCCGCCGTTTTTTCGCTATTTAAGAAAAAACACAGGGGGGGCCAAAATGGCCCCCCCCCATCAGGGCGCGGGTTAAGACTAGCCTTAAGTTAACCCGCGACCGCCTGGGGGGGGGGGGTCGGATCCGACCCCCTCCGTTTTTCTCGAATAACTCATGAACCGCTTCCGCTATCAACTTTAAAGGGACCCTCCCACCTTCAAAAAAGTTTATGAATTGGCATGAAAGTGATGTCGCTCGGTTCAGAAAGAGCGAAAACGAATATCTACCAAACTTCACCGAAAAATATTCACCGGTTTTCAAGATATTAGACTTTTACTTTTGTTTACTTTTTGGGATCTCCGCTGTTCCTAGCGACTTTATTTGGAAGCAATATTTTGGCAGCTGAAAGTGCGGCACTTGTTGCGCGCAAAGCAGCATATACCACCGCGTGCTACAAAACGTTTTAGTCAAACATTTAAAAATCGTTAGATATCTGCGCTGACGTCACACATTCAGAGGGGTATTCCTATGCATTAGCCCCTCTGAATCAAAAGCTGCAATTTTGAAATTCAATATTTCCGATTTAAGGCATTTCTCGATGTTGTGAGTGCCGAAACCGGTAATTGTGAGCCAGGGACCCCATTTTGGCTATCTCAACTCAAATCTAATGTTAAGGTGGGAGGGTCCCTTTAAACTTGGCGTACCTTCTCCCTCATCAATTTGACGTCTCCTGTGTAATTTTTAGGATTTTCCCCAAAACTTTTTGAGATATATTGATTTTAGTAATGTAACTACATGGCGTTTTCAGTCAAAAAGTGGTAAATGTTTAAAAAATCGCAAAAAATCAAGGTTTAAAGCAAATTGCAAATTAGGGACATGAATAGACGCAGCTCAACGGTTTCTTTAAAATGGTTATCTCGGATTTTTTTAAATAAAATGCGTTTTTACCCCTACAAATTAAAAAAAAACTATATTTTTTGGAAAACAGCTTATAAAATCCAAAATGTTCAGATTTTCCAATAATCCGGAATATATGTTATAGAGCTCCATTAGAACATTAGATGTCCCAAATTTCAACTTTCTATCTTGATTTTTCACCCCCAATTGTAAAAAATAGCTCCAACATGCATAGGGCATGGTGACGTCAGAAGCATTTTCGTGAATCAGAGGCACTTCTGAACATTCCATGTAAAAACAAATGGCACCACTAGATTCCTGGGACAAAAATCGCATAGAAAAGTGCATTTTTATGTCAAAAATAAAAAGTTGAAACTTGACTTTTTACTTAGCCCTTGTTTAGTTATGTATAGTATAAACGATTTTTTATGTTTTCAATGCACACTTATCTACAGAACAGTGACTTGGGGTCACATATAACCATTACCATCGGATTCGGCGTGAAAAATAAGCCATAAAACATGTGTCGCACGCCCATGTAGCAGAAAGTGAAAACCGTGACCTTTCGTGACCTGACCTGACCTTGACCCGTACTTAGTATGACCCCAAAACGCACATGGTACCTTCACTAGGTCTTTGAGGTTATTTTTGGTGAGTTTCGAGCAGCAGCTATCGATTCCGCTGTCCTGCCAGTCACTATCATGATGACCCCAATCATGCAAAACCCTAGAATTTGACCTTTGACCTGATTTTGACCCAAAAGTTGACCTCAATCCTAAAATCTTAAGAGTGCTTTGGGAAGGTCTTGTAGAGACCTTTCGAACGCCGCCTCGCGGGGCTCGATACGACCATTGGTTCTCGAGATAACAGGGGGGGGGGGTCGGATCCGACCCCCCCAGGCTGTCGTGGGTACGGAAATAGCCCAGGCGGTGCCGGGTTAAGTGCCTCTGGGGGCCCCGCACTGGATTCTGAAGACCCGATGTCGGTCTCTAAGAGCCCGGATTGGCCTCTGAGGGCCCATCTTGGCCTTTAAGGGCCCTCCACTGGTCCCTGGGGTCCAACGCCGGCCTATGCCGGTCTTTTAGGGCATGGGCGTAGGAACGGCTGGAACATTGTGGGTGCATGGGTGCAGAAATCCAGCCATGACCGGTGTGAAGCGGAGGGAGGGGGGTAGAGAGCGACACCCGAGCGAAGGCTCGTTACAAGCTTTGAGGGTGTACCATGTCGAAAAGGTACCGATAAGTGCATTTGGAAGCATTAACCCCCGCCGGACCTTTTGGTTTTCTACATACGCGACGGCCGAGTGGGGGGGGGGGGGGTATGCCCCCTCGCCGTTTCGCCCCTGGTGGAGCTAGCGCGTCGCGGAAAAAACGAGCGTATGCGCCGTTATGAGACGCAGAGATTGATACTCGAGTTTAAGGTCCTTTGTCAACCGCTGGCCTTTGAGGTCAGGTCAAGTGCCCCAAGGTACGGTTCAGTTTTTGGTGAATAACTTCGCAAAAACGGCCCCAGAACCGCGATTTTGGCATCATCGTGTTCGGCTCGCTCAGGCGCATCGAATGATGTACTTTTTGCTTGGGTGAGGTCACCTTAGGGTGTTCACCTCAGGTCACGGTCAGGTCATGGCGCCCCCAGGTCACGAAATTGGTCGAAGGAGGTCGTGTTGCATATCAATCGATTTGGCAGGTCTTCCTGAGTCCATTGGGAGCTTTCCCAACTCGCTAGCTCAATTTGATCGGGAGTTATTGACGAAAAACTAATATGACAATGATGACGTCATAAAATGACGTCACGCAAGGTCAGCATTGCAAAAGTGACGCATCTAACCTTGCAAGGAGTGCATCAAATCACGATTCTGTGTGTGAGTTAGTTGGAGATCGTTCCTGGCGCCAGAATAGCAGTTTTAATTTTTCCCCATTGACTTATAGGTAATGGTGAGGTCACGAAAATGACCTGACCTCATATGACCTTTAGGAAAATCTGAGATATACAAGTTGTGAGACTTGTAATGGATACTGGATCCTTCAAGTTTCATTTCTCTGTGAAAGCTCCTCTGGCAGTGAGGGCGTTGCGAAGTTGCGACATCTGAAGACCGTGCAGATATTCACTTACCTATGACGTCATAGGTCAGTGACCTTACCTGACCTGAAAACCTGCGGCTGGTTTCAAAAGATCCGGCTTGAATCAAATGTCAGGTTTGCCAAGTTTCAGCTCTCTATCGCCAGCGTGTTCAGAGCTATCGCGAAAAAGCCCTATGGGGGGGCAGCACCCGCCCCCCCCCCTCGGCCGGCGAGGGTTAACCCTCGCATGTGTAGGGGGTCGGATGTACCCTCTCATGGTTTTTCGCAAATAACTCGCGCAAAAAGCGGCCGATCGCGACGAAACTTTAACTATGTATCCTCGAGTTGATCAGTTTTACACCTACTCTGACCTGTGACCTGATTCTCGAGACCATGTTCGGCCGGAATCACGATTTGGCGTATGTCAGCTCACTTTATCCGCGCGTCTCCAGCCTTTTTGTGATTGTAGACGTCCAAACATGTGAAATGATGTTCGTCCCATGCATCATGGTGGGTGTGAAGGTCACCTGTAGGTCAGGTCAGGTCATTGACCTAATTGATGACCTCGGTTCACTTTTTCGAGTTTTACATGATTCTTAGGTAGTCTTTCGGGCTGATTTCGAATTTAGCATCCGTTTGAACATTTACGAAGTAGTTTTGGTGCCTTCGTAGCATGCTACGACGCCGTCAGTGGCAGTTGACACCTACTATAGATAGCATAGCCGGTAGGACGCCTAATGGTTGACCTGACCTGACCTGACCTGGCCTGGCCTGGCCTAAATGTATGAAGACATCATCTGTGATTAAAACTAACATGATATTCGTGATCAGCACCCCGAAAAACCCGATAACATCTTAACTTTACGCAGTTCTAGCAGGTCCCGATTTTCCCGACATTTGGAACATTGACCTGACCTGAAAGGTCACCTAATGACCTAGCCCTCGCATGTGTAGGGGGGGGGGGATCGGATGGACCCCCATGGATTTTCGCGAATAACTCGCGTAAAAAGCGGCCGATCGCGACGACACTTTCAGTAACCTCGAGTTGATCAATTTTAAACCTACTCTGAAAATTTCATGACCCTGACCCAAGTGACCTTTGACCTGTGACCTATTTCTCGAACCCATGTTTGGCCGGAATCGCGATTCGGCGTATGTCAGCTCACATAAGTCGCGCGTTTGCAAGCTTCTCGTGGTTTCAAACGTTCAAACATGTGATTTGATGATGCTCCCATGCATTTGGGTGGATGTCAAGGTCACCTGAAGGTAAGGTCAGGTCATTGACCTTTGGTAACCTCGGTTCACTTTTTTTAGCTTTACATGTTTCAAGGCTAGTTTTTGGAGCTGAATTCGAATTTAGAAACTATTTGAACATTAACCCTATTAGTGGCAGGCTCCTGGCTACCCCATATTAGTGGCAGGGGGGGGGGGGCTGTTTACGACCCCCCCTTGATATCTCGAGATCTAACCGGCCGATTTTCAAAATTCAAACGACATTCGATTTGGCTCAACGAGATCTACATTTCTAAAAAAAAAATAAAAAATGTCAATAGGGGGGTAGAGGGGGGTAAAAACGGGCAAATTGCAGATACATTTTAGACTGTTTATCACGGCCAGGTTTCTGAACCAATCTTAACGCAACTTTTGCCGATCGATAGAGAATGAACCAGGAATTCACATGGATCCTAAAAATATGCATTTTCAAAAATCATAGGCGGATACAGAACATTGAGATTGGGGGTACACAAAAAGTATAGTAAATAAGGCTTTTGTTGGTACTGTTTCTAAAAAGGGTGGCAATGGTCTTGTTATGTTACAATTTTCTTATGAGAGAACGACTAAAATTGTATTGGTCATGCATAGGCGGTGTCAGGGCACCTATGTTGGGAGGTGAAAAATAACCCCCCTTTTTGGACGCCTGGATCCGCCTATTATAGCAAAAACGTGTCAAAAGAGGATGCACAATAACTTTGTATATGTTATCACATGATACCTTTCATTCACTGTTCGTAAAACTGGTGCAGCATCGTGATCTTCGCCCAAATGACTCGCTTCACGAATAGGACCCCCAATTCCCAGTGCTCTGGAGCCGCCCCTGGTAAAGTTATGAACTTGAAATTTTCAGGGAATGTGCCCAATTTAGTTTTAGGAAAAGTCAGAAAATTTCAGCATCGTAGCTTTAGCGGTTTCGGAGATATTCCCGAAAAACCTGAGGGGTGGATAAAAACAACCCCCCTGCCACTAATAGGGTTAACGAAGTAGTTCTGGTGCCTTCGTAACATGCTACGAAGCTGCCAGAGGCGGTTGACACGTACTACGAATACCCGTCACAACCCCTACTGGTTGACCTGACCTGACCTCACCCGACCTGGTCTAAATGCTTAAAGACATCATCTGTGATCAAAACTAACACCATATTCCTGATCAGCACCCCGAAAAACCCCTAAGCAGCCACACTCTACGACTTTCTAACAGGTCCCGATTTTCCCGACTTTGGGTCATTGACCTGACCGGGAAGGTCAACCAATGACCTAGGACCTTGGTATCATCTGGGTAAAAAAACTGAAAACTGGGTATCATCGGCCTCCTCTCGTCACGGGCAACACGCTCGTTTTTTCCGTGAAGCTCTAGCTTAATCAGGGGCCAAACGGCAAGGGGGGGGGGGAGGGTCCAACCAACCCCCTACACATTAGAAGCTGGCAAACGCCGCACATATGCGAGGGTTAATGTCAGCGTTTTTGACAAATTTGATTTGTCAGTAGCAACATAATTTAACCTTTGCTTTCAAGAAAAGCAATTTAACCCGCGCCCCGTAGGGGAGGCCGAAACGGCCCCGCCTGTCCTTTTCCGTCGACATCTCCTAAACGGCTGGAGATATCGCCAGCAAACTTTCAGGACCCTTCCGGGCATCAATGGTACACATTGTGACCAAAAATTTTTCCAGAGGATATGATAGGTTGGCCACAAATGACAGAATGACATCATGTTCAGTCATTTTCGACCGAAAAAGACCTTCGCGAGAAGACCTGTCAGGCCTACAGCTTTGAAGAAACAGAAAATGATTAAAACTTATAAGGTGTAGAATTGACAGGGCTACAAAACTGCGATCTCGAATTTTTAACATTTTTGCGTTTTGACCCCAAAAAATAAAAAAAACATCTTTTATATTTGCCAAAAAATCCAAAAAGTTTTTTGAGTTTTGGAAAACCGAAATATAAGTATGTGATAGTACCTACCGTCTTCTATCTACATACCAAATTGCAGATCGATCCCTCTTTTTTTGGCCAAGTTATAGCGAAAAAAACTGTTCAAAAATGATGACGTCAAATTTTCAAACTCAATTTTTGGCAATTCTAGACCTCGTATAGCAAAACAAAGACCATTATTAGACTCCCCGTGACAAGGTGCATCGAAGCAATACCCATTTTATGCAAAAATATCAACTTTAAAATTTAACTTAATTTGACCTGACCTTGACCTGACCTTCACCAAAACGTGACTTAGACTGGCCCCAAGGGCTGCCTGACCCACATAATCGCATTTGTCATGTAAAATGGACCATAAAACATGCATCACACGACACTTTCATATTGTGACCCCCGGTGACCTGACCTCGCTGTGACCTGACCTGGTATCAGTGACCTCAGATAGCAAAGTATGTGTTTGACGGACAATGTACCATCGATAGTTTTCAATGAATTACCAATTTACTCGATTTCACAACACATTTCTTGAAATGCTTGTGAACGGTGAAAATCCGACCTTTGACCTGACCTGTGACGTCATCGGTTTGACCTAGGTCAATGGAATTTGGTCACAAGGTAGTTCCTCGCTGGGGCTATCGAACGCCGTTTGAATTTTGAAAATCGGCCGGTAAATTTCAGAGATCTTAGGGGGGGGGGGGCCGAAACGCCCCCCCCCCCTACGGGTGGTAGAGTCCGCCGATAGCCCTACGGGGCGCGGGTTAAGTATGTAACATTATTTCTCAGAAAATAGAGAAATGTCTTATTTTTACTCATCCAACGGTAGGCACTGCAAAAATCATGTTGAAGGGTGTTTACAAGTCCACGATCATCCTCAAACCTGGAAACTCTTGTATAATGAAAAATGGGAAAATTGCATTTTAGTGTTCTGTTATTTGAGTTTGTCATCAAGGAATAACAATTAGTCAAGGGGGCTCTAAGTTTCCGATGGGGGGCTCAATTTACCACGGGGGGGGGGGGGCTAAAGCCCCCCAAAGAGATATAAAGTTACGCCCCTGGTGACACCTGATGCGGTACGCACTACGCAGTGATTGGCTTGGAGGCAAGGCTCTAAAAAAGGAAGGGGGTCTAAGTGCTCACTGCTCTGGCTGTGTCTTTGACGTGATTAATGTGTATGGACAGACGACAGCAGCCGTGTGAAACTGAAAAAACTGGAAGCGAATGAGTTCTCAGATTACATCAACGCCAATTTCGTCGACGTAAGTAAGGAATTTTGACGTTAGCTTAGCGACTTCCTTTTGGAATCATTTGATTCTCACACGACGCATGGGCAACGTAAAGATAATTTTTATAGAAAATCACTGTTAAAATGACCAACCCATCTTATAGAACCCTACCACCTTCAAAAAAGTTAAAATGAATTGGCATTAAAGTGATGTCCCTTGGTTCAGAAAGATCAAAAATGAATATCCGCCAAATTTCACCGAAAAATATTCGCTGGTTTTCAAGTCATCAGACGTTTACTTTTGTTTACTTTTTGGGACCTCCGCTGTTCCTACGACGTCATTTGGAAGCATTAATTTGGCATCGTTAAAGTGCGGCAGATGTTGCGCGCTATGTAACATAGACCACCACGTGTTACCAAACGTTTTAGTAAAAGATCTAAAAAATTTATTTCTGCGCTGACGTCACACATTCAGAGGCAACTTTATGCACGTCATTCAGAGGGGGCATTCAAATACATTAACCCCTCTGAATCAAAGTGCTGCATCTTTGAGATCAACCATTTTCAATTTAAAGCATTTTTCGATGCTGTGAGTACCCAAACCGGTAATTGTAGGCCAGAGAATGGGTAGCTCAACAAAGAACTAATGTTACTTGGTCACTTTAACATTAGTTTTGAGTTGAGATAGCCCAATTCGCGGCCCAATAAGGTCCCTGGCTTGCAATTACAGGTTTGGGCACTCACAACATCTAGAAATGCTTTAATGCGGACATATTTAAATTTAAAGCAGTGTTCGCCATGGGCCGGGCCAGCCCAATGGGCCATGGGCTGGGCTGGGCTACGGGCTGGGCTGGGCCCTCAAATATGAAGGATCGATGGGCTCTGGATGGGCTGGGCCAAGAACTGTAAACTGGAGTCAGGGGTTCGCAACTGAGACAAAAGCTATAACTACATAGCTTATTACTGTACAAGACTAAAAACGAGTTAATAAAGCATGCATGCAATGTGCATTGTGCAATGTGCATGCTGCTCGCAAAGGATTGTTTCTTTGCTTCCTATGGGTACCTGTATGCTGTCAATAATTTTTAAACCATTCATTTTTGAGGGACTGGGCCGGGCTGGGCTTTGACTCTTTTGCCATGAATGGGCTCGGGCTGGGCCGGGCTGTGAACCCATGGGCTTGGGTATCAGCCTGGGCTGGGCTGGACTGGGATTTTGCGGCCCGTGGCGAACACTGATTCAAAGTCTGCAGTTTTCGGATACTAGGGGGCTAATGGATTTGAATGCAACCTTAGACTTTGTGACGTCAGCGCAGATCTAGCAATTTTTATGTCTTATACTAAAACCTTGGTAAAAGACAACTGCTGCCGTTTATTTCAATGTGTAAAGATATATCATAGATGCAGTTTTTACCCCCAAAAAAGTTATCATCATGGCGTCAGCATTCTCTCGTGAAGCCACCTAGTAGGTATTTATCTCCTTGGTATATACTGTCCTGCGCGCAACATCTGTCGCACTTTTAAGATACCAAATTATTTCTTCTAAATGACGTCATAGAAACAGCGCAGGACCCCTCCCTAAAAAATAAAAGTATAATATCTCAAAGACCGCTGAATATTTTTTTCGGTGAAGTTTGGTAGATATTCATTTCCGCTCTTTCTGAACCACGGTGCATCACTTCTTTGACAATGCATTAACTTTTATAAAGGTGGGATGGTCCCTTTAATTAATTTTTGTAATTTGTATCGTCGGTGGAAGGTAAGAACGGAAATCCTATACCAGTCGGGGGAGGTTTGGTCAATCGTTGTCATTTTTAGCACATGCCTTTTTTGGCAACCATGTGCCAAAAATGACAACGTTATCAGCTATTTTTGGCAACGATGAAGCCGATCATTCCTCAGCGAGGAAATCACGATTTTGGAAATACAAGTACTGATTTTGGAAACGAAGTGCTGCCTCCTGGTGCAAGAAGAAGAAACCAGCTTTAATATGGCCGCTGTTTGTATGATACAACGTTGAAGTATAGGTACCCTTTTTTGTGGCCTGACGTTGGAACTTCAATTTGCAGATCCGAAAATGATCAATATTGATCGAAAACATAATTTTGATGAAACAATGAATATGTTAAGTTGAAAGAGGAGGCGATTTCATCCAGATGCGGTGGTTTACTTATTGAAATTATTTTTGCTTATGACGACCGCCATGTAATGACGGATGAGTGGTGGGCACTCGTAACTTGACCGGGACTTCGATAACAATAATTCGATAACCTCTTTCGAGGTCAGCGACTTCGATAACGATAACTCGATAACCAAATCGGTCACTTCGATAACGCGATAACGATAACGATAACTTCAAAAAAGAATGAAAAGCGAAAGGATAAAATATTTGAAAGAAATAAGCTTCTAATGAATATTTAACCCATTCGCTCATACAACACCATTACAGGGTGTCCCAAAATTAATATCACACCCTCCCACAACCTTTGTTTTGCCTTCTACTGCGCAATATCAATATAATTTCACCGGCACTGGCCCCCAGACCATATTGGCTACATTCTAATCACGTGACCTTCGAATTTTTGTGACCCTGACCGGTCAAGGGGTGTACGGACTACGGAGGTCATTTCCGGGGCAGTACCCAGTGCGCGCGAACCAGTTGTCCAGGATGGCGAAACTGCAGAGCAAATCGTCCCGCAGCGGGGCAGTCGGCATGGCTGCCGGTGGCATGACCCACGGCCAGGTCGCCGAGGTACTGGGCATGAGTTGTCGCACGATTTGGCGCTGGTTATCACGCGACAGAAGCGGATAGACGCCTGGGAACAAGCTAGGTCGCGGCAGGAAGACTTCCGCCAGCCGGGTATAGCGCAGATCGTCATCGCGAAGTGCGGAGCTAAAGACGGGCTTATCCACAAGGAAACTGGCAAGGAGGCTGATTGCCAACGGTCATCTAGTCTCCAAGTCGACAATCCATCGGTACTGGAGGATGACTCTGAAGCTGAAGCCCACCAAGTCACGTTTTAGCCGAAAACTTCTGCTGAACATGTCCAGGGCCATCTTTCAACAAGTCGGTGCCCTGGCTCATCGAGCTAGAACGACGAAGGACTGGTACAGATCGAACTTCCCAGCATTCTGGGAGAAGGACAAATGGCCGGTGAATAGCCCCGACCTGTCGCCGATAGAAAATCTTTGGGCGATCGTCCTGTAAGAGATGAGCAAAACGGCGCCAGGATAACCTGAACGCACGCTGACCAGGAACGTTCGATCTGTCTGGCCCAAGGTCAGTATACAGAAGCTAGACATGTTGATGTCTGATGCCCCGGACCGCCTATGCTTGCCCGCATCAGGGAGAAGGTGGGATGCATGTGTAAGAAAAGCGCGCCTCTCATGTTTGTTATTTTCATGAAATTGACACTGGAAAGGTGTGACATTATTTTTGGGACACCCTGTATTACCCAGCTGCTTACACAAAAAGGAGGGCTTTGAACAGTGAAAATATTACTTTTCTGGTATAAACAAACAAACAAGCGTGCAAATAAAAATTTGAACGTCTTTGGCGACAGAGCTTGTTGCGCCGAAAGACATTCCAAATAGCATTTTTTTTCAGTGCTCAATCTACAAAACTGCTATCTCAGTTCAAAACCCCATGTTGAAGGTGAACTATTCCCTTTAATACGCTCGCGTCTATTTGATGAAGTTGTCGTTATCGATTGACCAAAACGGGGAGTTCAATAACGCTACTTCGATAACGATAATCAATAACGATTAACATGAAAAAACGTTATCGTCGATAACGACTTCGATAATCGTTATCGATGGGAGTTATCGAAGTGCCCACCACTGTGACGGATGATGCGCGGCCGTTATAAGCAAAAATAATTTCAAGAAGTTAACCACCGCACGACGCATCTGGATAAAATTGCCTCTTCTCTCAACTTAATACATTATTTTTTTTTTTCATCAACAACATGTTTTTGATCAATATCGATCATTTTCGGATGCTTCAATTTTAGGTTCCAACTTCAGGCCACAAAACAAACTACCATACAAACAACGGGCATGTTAAAGCTGGCTTCTTCTTGTACCAGGTGACAGCACTTATTTTCGAAAATCAGTGCTTATCTTTACAAAATCTTGATTTCCTTGCTGAGGAGTGAAATCGGCTTCATCGTTGTCAAAAATAGCAGAATCGTTGTCATTTTTGGTACGTGTGACAAAAATAGCATGTGCTAAAAATGACAACGATTGACCAAACCTCCCCCGACTGATACAGCTTCGTTGGATACCTACCCAGATAATTGAAGAACATGCCATCACACCATGTTGGTCTTTGGGCATTTGCTAAGCATGTTGATGCACTAAGTCTAATACTAAGACGTTTATCATTCTTAAACCGGTTTTCTAAGGCAGAACACGTGTTCTCCTCTCTGCAGGGCTACGAACGGCCAGGAGCGTATATCGCCACGCAGGGACCCAAGCCGGAGACCATTTTCGATTTCTGGCGGATGCTCTGGGAAAAGAAGGTGGCCAGAGTGGTAATGCTCACCAACCTTGTGGAGGGAGACAAGAAGAAATGCGACCTCTACTGGCCGGAGGAGAGGCCGCTACTGCTTCTGAACCTGAAGGTGGAGAAGGAGAGCAGTCGCATGTCCAACGACTACACCGTGCGGACGTTCGTCATGGTCCGAGGCCGGGAGAGGAGAACGGTGAGACAAGCCAGCAGTGGTGAGAGCGGTCGGTAGTGGGCTATTGGTCATGAACGGTCCTTTTCTCTGCAGACCTGACCCACAGATGATAATCACAGCTCTTCGGAACCCTGGTTGTCGAGCTAATGCTGAACAGTGGCTCTATAACAATAACATGCCAACAGTAACGGGCCACCTGGGGCGGATCCGAACAGTGTTTCAGTCCAGTTTCAGCCCGTTGTGCAAGGCCCTCCACTGTGTATGGGCTGCCGCACGTTTTGTGGCTAGCGGAGCCTTCTTGTGGCCCATTGAGTGTGACTGACAGTCCGGGACCCGTCTCAGGTGACTCAGCTGCACTACACCGCCTGGCCGGACCACAGCGTGCCCCTCTATCCGTCCTCGCTGGCCCGCTTCATCCGCGAGCTGGACGCCGTTCCCGACGGAGAAGGACCCACGGTCGTCCACTGCAGGTGGGTTTGCTTAGTGTGTGAGATCAGAGGAGTTAAATAATGTTGGTAACGTTTGTTCTTCATTGCCAGTAAGACACCCTTTGCGGCGACAAACGAGCGAGCACAGGAGCCAGCTCCGCGCGTGCGGAAGTGCGGGAGGTGCAGGGTGTCCCATAAGTTCGTTCTCACCTTATATTTGCATGTAAAACAGAGTATATTGCGTTTTGATATGTTTATGACTCCTCAATGTGCTCCCCATTTCATAGGCAAACACATGAATACATGCTGCGGCATGCCAACCGGCATGTTTGGCAGCATTGCAGGTCTAGCCGGGGGGATCCAGGGCGTCGCAAGTCCATCTACGACACGTCGCAAGTTACGACACATATGCCGTCGCAAGTTGTGTCGTAGCGGAAAAAGAGGGATTTTGAGGAAAGAGGGGTTTGTCGGAGGATACGACAGAACGTAGCTGCGACGAGGCTTAAATACCCGCTTTACTCGAGAATTTAAAAGGCTACACGATCAGCTGATCCCGTAGTAAACGTCAGTAAGGTCGAAAACTCTATCACGCATAAAGGAGCATTAGCCTTTCTGGTTTGCGAGCTTATGAGACAGCAAGGTCAAGCATGTTCTCTGATTCTGAAGCTTTGTATTAACTGGGTGACTTGTGGTTGCTAACGCTCACGTGATTTGCCATAAAATTTGGGATCGATCACAGGAGATTCGTGGCTATAGGGCATCTAGAATCGATGCTTTAGAAAAAATGAGTTCCGAGAGTTTGGGGTCACAGAGAGGTAAGAAATTTGTAGATATAGGTCACAATTGGAGGTTACAGAGGTCATCTGGGACACGTCAGGTCACAGAGGTCAACTTGGGGTCATCACAGAGCTCAATTGGAGACCACGGAGGTAATCTGAGACACGTCAGGTCACAGAGGGCAACTTGGGGGCACGTCAGGTCACAGACGTCAACCTAGGGTCATCACAGAGCTCAATTGGAGGTCACGGAGGTCATCTGGGACACATCAAGTCACAGAGGTCAACTTGGGGTCATCACAGAGCTCAATTGAAGGTCATTGGGGCCATCTGGGACACGTCAGGTCACAGAGGTCAGCTTCGTGCCATCAGAGAGGTCACTTAGAGGTCACAGAGGTCATATGGGACACGTCAGGTCACAGAGGTCAACTAAAGGTCATCAGAGAGCTTAATTGGAGGTCATCTGGGACACGTCAGGTCACAGAGGTCAGCTTGGAGTCATTAGAGAGCTCAATTGGAGGTCACGGAGGTCATCTGGGACACGTCAGGTAACAGAGGTCAACTTGGGGTCATCACAGAGCTCTATTGGAGGTCATGAGGGTCATCTGAGACACGTCAGGTCACAGAGGTCAGCTTCGTGCCATCAGAGAGGTCACTTAGAGGTCACAGAGGTCATATGGGACACGTCAGGTCACAGAGGTCAACTAAAGGTCATCAGAGAGCTCAATTGGAGGTCATCTGGGACACGTCAGGTCACAGAGGTCAGCTTGGAGTCATTAGAGAGCAGCTCAATTGGAGGTCACGGAGGTCATTTGCGACACGTCAGGTCACAAAGGTCATGTTGGGGTCATCACATAGCTCTATTGGAGGTCATAGGGGTCATCTGGGACACGTCAGGTCACAGAGGTCAGCTTGGAGTCATCAGAGAGCTCAATAGGATGTCACGGAGGTCATCTGGGACAGGTCAGGTCAAAAAGGTCAACTTGGGGTCATCGCACAGCTCATTGGAGGTCATCGGGGTCAGCTGGGACACGTCGTTTTTGGAATTGGGAGAATATTTTGGGGGATGCCCCTTGCAACGTCCAAGACCGCCTTTCTGGATTCGCCAGTAGTTGCTGGAATGGTGTAAGGCTACTTCATATCCCCGAATACCCCAATAAATGTGAATATACCATATTATGCACCATTTTCAACACTCTCGCTGGCACGGATTGAGGCCTCATAGACGACCCGTCAGTTCAAGCTCTATAACTCGCGTTAGCGTCAACGGATTGCAACCAAATTTTCAGGATCTAAAGTTTAAACAATTTTACACCTACCATGTAAATTTCGTGACCATGACCCGAATGACCTGTGACCTGTGACCTCTTCCTCAAGGCAATGACCTGTGACCTCTTCCTCAAGGCAAGGTCTACTTGCGACACAACTTACGACTGCTATTTCAAATTCGTAAGTTGTGTCGCAAATCAGGCTATTTGCGATAGACTTTACTACTTAAGTAACGCTACTCATCGATTGATCCCTTCAAAAACGACTTACTACACAACTTGCGACACGTCGCAGCTACGACGAGGCTTACGACGCTCTGGATCCCCCCTAAGTTGGCCCAGAATGACTTGACATGCGCCGTGAGCTCCTCGAAGCTGGAACAGCGGTTTGCTTCGACGAGCCTCGATTTTAACCCGCGCCCCAGTGGCGGTCTCAGCCAACTTCGCCCTAGTGGGGGGGGGGGGGCATATTATGTAACCACCCACCTCTAACTCAAAAACTAAGAGGGCTAGGAAGACGCGGTAAAAAGCAGTCGATAGCTCTCAATGCGTACGTTTGAAAGTACTTAGGTCATTTTCATCTTAGAACAATATTGGGGTCACTGGAGGTCATCAAAGGTCAAAATTTGCCAAATGTCATTATATTTCTCAGAAAACATGCATTTATCTCAGGAACTATGATAGCTAGAAAAACGAATGGCAAAGCAATCGATAGCTTTTAAACTCCTCTTATGAAAAGGCCATCATCAAAATTGACCTCAGGTCAACGGTTTAGCCTCCAGGGGGCAAAAACTCTAAAAATAGCTGTTTTTACGAAAAGTGTTTTTCGACAATAACTTTCGACTAAAAAAAGCCACGACATTTCTATTGCCAGAATCGTGTTCCTCTTGCCGAGACGCGTCGAATGAACTATAATTTGACCTTGAAAGGTCAACTTGAAAATTTGACCTCAGGTCAAGGTCATGACCTGACCGGAAAAAGGTCATGTTGCATATCAGTCGATGCGTCTCGGTAAGTCAAACACAATGAAGCCATCCCCAGCGTTCTATCTCTTTCCAATCGAGAGTTATTGGCAAAAATCTGTTTGTAGCCTCAAATGACCTCGGATGACCTTTCTAGAGGCTATGAGCAAAAATGACACCTTGGTCATCACGGGTGGTCCAAATCATTGTGATTCTGAAATATTTGGACTGTTCCTATGCGTACACACGGATCTAGAGACATTTTCATTTTTCTCCATTGCCTTATAATGGTAAGGTCACGACACCGACCTGACCTTAGGTCACAGATATAAAAAATCCGAGATATAAAAATTGTAGGCGTCTATAACATCATGCAATCCACCAAGTTTGAAACCTTTCTGACAAAAACTGCAGGCTGGACATGATCGCAAACTTTTTTTTAGGCTTGGTCAGTTAACTTGACCTGGTGACCTGACCTGACATGACCTGGGGTCAAAAATTTCACACATTGTCCAAAATTGATGTAACAAAAGCTACCTGAAGCGGCGCGGCGCTACGCGCCGCGGTTTTTTATTTACACGCAAAAAACGCGACAGGGTGGTAACATATGCCCCCCCCCCCACTGGGGCGAAGGTTAACCCGCGCGGGGCTGGGGTCTCCAGCCGAACGCGCGGGGCTGGGGGGGGGGGTAAATTTTACCCCCCCCTGTTATCTCCCGAACTAACGGTCCGATTTGGAAAATTCAAACGCCAATCGAAAGCTCTCATCACGAACTACTAAAAACATGTATTTAATTTAAAGTTTGAGGTCAAGGTCAAGGTCAGGTCAAGGGTACAAATTGCAAGATTCTACAGTATCGGCCTTGCACCGTAGTTGCCGAAGAATGGAGTCATGGACTGAGACTGATCGCCCAAAACGTGTTCTTAGGCTACCAAGACAATATTCGTTGCATACAATATCATTCAGAGGTCAAGGTCAAGGTCAGGTCAGGTCAGGTCAGGTCACCAAAAAACAAAATATAGAAAAGGGCATGTGCGACACATGTTTATGGGTCATTTTACTCATAGAATTCAATAGGCACACTCAATAAGTGATATGGACCACCTCTGGATGAATTTCAGGTCGAGGTCAGGTCAAGGTCAGGTCAAGTGAGGTCAAATTTTTAAGTTGGTTTTTAAGGCCTAAAAAGGTGTCTATCTGATGCAGTTTTTCACGGCAAATCGAATGGTGCTATTTTTGTTTCCGTACGAGGTCTAGAACTTCCAAAAAAGTCATTTTTCAAAAAATTTGTGTGTCGTGACGTCATAAAATTTTGAATAACTCCCACATTTTTGAACCGATTTTTCTAAAATTTGGTATGTAGGTGCACATAGACCACTTCTCTGATATATATTCCGGTTTTTTCGATAGACTAAAAATTTTGGATTTTATAATGATTTTCCCAAAAAAGTCAGTTTTTTGAAAAAAAATTAGGCCAAAATCCAAAATTTTCAAAAAACCGAGATAGCCATTTGATAGAGAAAGTAAAATTACGTATAACCTTTTTTGTTACGTCTTGATTCCTTTAAAAATGAAGATGTTAGCGGCGTTTGAACTTTTGCCGTTTTTTGAGGCGAAAATGACGAACATGACGTCACTAAAACGTCAATTTCTCAAAAATTTTCCGACGGATTTCGCTCAAATTTTCAGGGAACGTGTCAAATTGATGTAAGAAAAGGTACTGAAAGTTTGGCGGCGCTGCGCGCCGCCGTTTTTTAGATATCGCAAAAATTCGCGAGGGGGGGTAAAATTTACCCCCCCCCCAGCCCCGCGCGGGTTAATATTCCCAACACATTTTTATGAAATTTGGATCCGATGAGTTGCCTGGGATGTGATCTTGCCACAGACGCCTATCACAGCCTCCTGGCACTGCTTTTAACCCGCGCACCGACGAGGGTCTGCACTCTGCGCCAACTTAGAACCGACGGGGGGGGGGGCGGCGCCCCCTGAGATGTCGAGAACGAAGCAAGATAGCGACAAGCGGTAAACGGCATGGG